TTGGAGTGCAGTGGCACACTTATGGCCACTGCAGCCTCGACCAGCTGAGCTCAGGCAAACCTTCCACCTCAGACTTCCAAATAGCTAGAACCACAGGAGTGTGCTACCACGCCTGGTAATTTTCTTTTATTGTAGAGACAAGGTCTCACCAAGTTGCCCAGGCTGGTCTTGAACTCTTGAGCTCAGACAATCCTTTCACCTCCGCCTCCCAAAGTACTGAGATTACAGGCATGAGCCACCACACCTGGCTCCACTTGTTAATCTTTAGATTTTTTTTTTCCATAACCATTGGCAACAATGGCTTTCTATATGGACCGTTCCACTGGAAACAAATTATTTCATTTTAACTGTTTCTAATTTTAACAGCGGATGATATCTGGGCCTAAGTAGTGAGTGATTGTGTTTGTTTAGGTTTTGGTGTTTGTTTCTCATTTTAATGTAACTACTTTAAATATTTTATCTTCTTTTTGACTGAATCACTTTTGGGCTCATTTTACTCAGTTAAACTTTTTTCATTTTTCACTTTTCAGTGAGGAAAAGTAACACCTGCACAAAGGTGAGAGTTGTAAGGACACTCTTTGTAAAATCCAGTTATTTCAGAACTCAGAAAGACAGAATTTGAAAACAGACACCAACTTCACTCATAATTTTTGTACTCTACTAACCGTCTCTTTGTTGTGTAGATCAGTATCTTCTAAACTTTGGATTTCAGACATGGGCCAGTAAAATTTGGAGACTGGCATTGTTCCATGGAACCCCAAAAGCATCTAAGAACAGTTTTAGGACAGTGGTGCTATCTCATGCCCAGAACACAGGAGAACATTTTGAGTTAATCGTGACTTAAAATAAATTATCTGGCAGTTCCACGTAAAATGACTGGACATCCTCTAGCTATTCTGCGAGAATCTGGCAAAAATTGAGAACTTATTTTTTGAGTAATCATTATCAGAACAGTTACATAATTTACTATACATCAACATACAATCTAAGAGAGTTAAAATAAATTATTAGCACATTTATTTATATTTTTTAAATAATAAAATAAATATTCAGTAATAGTAAGTAAATATGTAGTAATAGTATGTTTAAAGTAATGACAATAAATAAGTTTTTCAAAATTACTCGTAAAATTGGGAGAAATTATGATTTCCTAATTTTCCAAGATATGCTTCATTTATTTTTCTGTTGAATTCAATTGTTCCTATTTCTATAGAAATAAAAATATTTGCATAAAACATAAGTTTACAAAATATTAAACAGCCATTAGAAATGATGTATGCAAAAGTAATGTACTCACAGAGAAACATTTAAAATAAGAATTAAAAGGCAAGAAGTAAAATTGCATTTGTGCTGCAAACTTGCTTTTATATAAAGTATAAACATCTCTAAGCAAAATGCCTTACAATTGAAGCTTAGAGTGTAGTTTGCTCTTTGAAGAAAAATCTAAATGTCAATAAATTTTAAAAACTGTTCAATTATTGAAGAAAAATCTTAATAAAATCTGCACTTCAAAAAATCCAAAGTTCAACAAAAAAATTGTTTTGTTGATATGACTGATATTGGGGAAAAAAATATGCTTTTCTACTTTTACTAGTAGATAGGGCATAAACTTTATGAACAGATAAACCTTAATTTAAATGCCAACATTGTTGTTGTGTAGTATTTTTGTGTCAATAAAGTCAATAACCTTTGAAATGCAATTTCCTCATTTGTAAAACACAGTAATTCCTATCTTGTGTCGTTATTGCAAGAATTAGAGATGAGTGCGTGTGTGTGTCTGTGTGTGTGGTGCCTAACAATAACTTTTAATTATGCTGTTGATTTTTTTATTCTTTCAGTCATTAATTTTTTATTATTAAGAATAGTGAGGTTGAAAACATATTCACTCCTTTATTTCATTTAGCTCTCACAACAATAGTATGAGATGTCATAAACTCACTTTTCTGATGAAAAGCTGAATAGTCCATCCAGTGTCACACAGATATATATGGAATTATAGGATTCACACTTAGATCTATCCAATGTTAAACTCCTTGTTCCTAATCACTAAACAATATTGCCTTTTGATAAGCTACCTTCCAAGATAAAAGCTAAAGATATTTCTTGGAAGTAAAGGCAGTAAACTATGTGGCTAAGAATAATGACATCAAAACAGCACCATTTACAAGATACACAAACTATATATCTTGCTATATCTTTTAACACATTTAGTTTAAATATTAAAAATTTATTTTTCCCATTATAAAAAATATCAAAAAAGGTAATAGTCATATCATGGAAAGCAAATGGCACTATAGCATGGTGGGGAAGGAAACATCAAATTGTTAATTCTTTGCCCTTGGGCACATCTCGGGCTCTTAGATTCAAACAAATTGCCAGAAGCCACCACTTGCTATCATACCAGCCTGAGTACTGGAGCCTCACTGTGTCACAATGGGCAGGGTTAATGATTCATCTCTAATCCTCAAGGCTCCTTCTGGGATTAATTGACTTTCTCTGCAGTCTGTCAGCCCACCCTCTTGTAGACCCAGTCAAGAGGATTTCTCTGCATTGCTTTGCCTCCTTCCCCACCCTCACCTATTTACTTTAAACACTATCTGATCTTTCTTTCACCTATACAATTCAGTAGGAATCAAATTCAGTGGAAACTAGCCAGCTAAACTGAGTCAACTTTGAAATAAAGCTGACTTGTTTAGAATGGAAGAGTCAATTTTGTCTTTTTCAATCGGCCTTTTAATTTCTCCTTCTTAGGCCATAATACTGTTAGCATTAAATGAAATCAATAATTATTAATTGATAATCTAGTATGTATCAGACACCAAAAAGGATATAAAAGTGACTGAAACAAAGTTTCTATCCTCAAAATATTCTCTGCCTAGGGGAGTGGATGAGTTCACATTAAGGTAGGTACCAACACATATTATGAGAGCACTGAGGAAAAGCCTACAATAAATCTACAGTCTACGAAAGATTTAAAAGAAGTTCACAAGACACTCTTTGAAATGGGTAAAATGTCAACATATATAGAGAGTAAAGACAGCATAAACCTAAATAAAAGACTGCAAGTTGGCATAAATCAAAGGATACTTGGGGAGTAATTCAGGAAGAACATAGGCTGCATGCTGAAAAGTGAAAAGTGGCTAGACTGAAGGGAATGTGCTGCAAGTGAAAAATACACACTGGATTCAAAAACTTAGTATGAAAAAGAGAATCTAAGCTAACTCATTCAAAATTTTTATATTGATGGCATGGTAAAATTATGTTTTGGATAAATAGGATTAGATACAACATTAAAGTGAGCATGAATTTCACCTGTTACTTTTTGAATGTGACTACTAGAAAATTTTGAGTTAAATATGTGACTGCATTAGACCTCCATTGGTTAGTGCTGGACTAGACAGACAACAGCACAGAAGGAGGCAGTGGACAAGGCAGAGGAGAGGTAGGAGGAGAAAGCGGACCTGGGTAGTGCTGTGATAGAGAAGCCATGGGAAACTGTTGTTTATTTAGCCATTCACTCATTTATTCACCCACTTATTTTTTTATTTTAAGAGAGCCTTATCAGTTGGTTCAAATACTAGACAAAGCCAAGGAAGATGAGTAACAGCAAAAAGGAGCCATTGTGTTTTTATTCAGGTAAAGAAACAGACTAGGTAGGAGGGATGTGATCAGTGGTGGGGGAAGTGAGCAGGTAGCTACTCTGTCAACAAAAAGAAAAAGAAGAAAAATAAAAGAACAATGATAAGGTCGAGGATTTTTTTTTCCTCAGCACAAAAGAGATCTAGATATGCTGCAGGAAAAAGGAAAGGGGAAACAGAGGACAGAGGAAATAACTGATGAATGGAAAACTATAACTGGCAGGCCTTTAGAAATTGCCACAAAAGAGAAGAAAAGCTAAAGATACCAATAGGAGCAATATGTGACAGTTGACTTTATGTTTACTTTTAAGCTGGGGAACTCCTGAAAAACAAAATTATCTTTTGAAGGGCAGGCCCCATGTAGTACACTTGAAATTTCTTCTTTTGGCCAACTCAAGTTTTTAATATGAAAGTTTTGAGAAGATTGCATCAAAATTTGCAAAAGAAATACCCCAAGTTGTGGCAAACCGGTGACTGGTTCTTCCACTATGACAATGTACCTGCTCACACCTCACTGGGTGTTCAGCAATTTTTGACCAAAAATGGCATGACCCCTATGCACCACCCTCTCAATCTCATCTCAAGTGACTTTTGTTGTTTCTCTGATGAAAAATGTCCTCAAAGGAAAACATTTTGCTGATGAGGAAGAGGTGAAATAAAAGCACTAAAAGGCATCAAAATTGACAAGTTTCAAAAACTGTTTTGAGCAGTGGAAAAAGTATCTCAATAGGTGTATTGCATCAGATGGCGAGTACTTTGAAGTTGACTAAAGTTTAAACATGTAAGAATAAATACACAATTTTTTATAAATAAATTCTGGGGTTTTTTGGTCCCCCCTCCCCCAGGACATTAAGAGATGACCAAGGAGGTCATCTATGCATGTCACTTGTCTTGAAGAGAAAAGAAGGGGCTAATAAGAAATTATCGTTTGTGAAAGAAAATTACAGGAAGAACCTGAAGCATGCTAAGATAGTTCCTCCTGTCACAGCTCTTCGCCCCCTGTTGTGGCTTTTCTCTAGGGGGGTGATGTGGAGTCTACTTGGTCCCTGCAGTTAGTCTCATTCATTTGTCTTTCATGACACTGGGGCCTTTGTAATGATAATGGCTTGATGACTATGAGAATGATTCAAGCTATTTCAGCAGAAAGAATCGTATATTATGCGTTTTCTGTGTAAACTTTGCCTCTTATACATTATTCTAAAAATCTATGTATTTTTCCTTTTAGTTTTCACAGTTGGTAAAAGTCTGCTTCATCAAGAGGGAATACCTGGTTCTATCCACTGACAAAGACAACAATTATTTCACATTTGTGTCAACACTAACAAGGACAGAATCTGGTATGTGCTAATTGATATGTCTTACTTTGAATGGCCTCTTGTCCCAAGCCGTCGCGTTGTTAGGAGGGGAAATTTCTGGCGAATTGTCTAAAAGAAAGATAATGACTTTAGGTTTTAGACAGTGTGTGGTTCTAATGCAAGACACTCAACCAGTTACTTGGAGAAAGCAAATCTTGAACTCTGAGTGAACTGCAAGTAAATACTTAGTCTGGAAAAAGTAAAATCTCACACATATTGGTAAGCAATAATACATCAGCAGAGGCATAGAGGTACTTTTTTGATGGGTGTGTTCTCAATTACCCATGGTAATTGATGGCTGTTGCCTCAATTACCAAGGCAGATCATACCAATATCTGCTTTTGCTTGATGTTACTACCACAGCAATTATTACTTTATGTACTGATTGGGGAGATTTAGATTTCTTCATAATTATTCCGTGCAGAGATTTACCTGTAATTAAATATTCCAGTCCTGAGAGAACACATGAAACTCCTTTTCCCTATTGGCTCTCCATGGTAGTGTTTACACAAAATTTTTCTTTTGTGTATTCCTATCTCTAAATTTGCTAAAATCAGGATCTGATAAAAGATAAAAAATGTCTTTCACATAAAAGTAGAAGCTTTAACCTGGATCTTAGGAGATCCATACATGAACTTCAAAGTGCTCCATGGAAAACTTTTTGCTTGTCTAAACTTCTTTGGGGACTGCATCCATAGGTTTTGTCAGATGTTCAAGGTGCTTCATGACCCCCAGACAAGTAAGAATTATTGCCACGAGGTAGATTCACAAAATGGTAATTCTAACGTGAATATTAGAAATTGTCTTACCCAACTCTCTCATTTTATAGAATTAGTGAAATGAGTTTTGAAGAAGTTAAGTGCTTTTCAGAAGGTCCCACAACAAATTAATCACAGTCTAGGCTAGGACCCAGACCACTTGATTGTCATGTACCATATCACACTACCTCCATAAATAGATAGGTTTTCAAAATAAATCATTTTTTAAAATGGGAAACTGGACCATAGTAGTCATGATTTTTTGGATAATGAGTCCCTCTACAGGTTAGAATTTGGATTTCAGTTTATATGAGAAATAATATTTGAGACCCAAGCTACCTACAGTTTTCTGGGATATCCTAAGTTCTTAGACAACAGAGCATGACAAGAATCTTAAAGAACAAGGTTTTCCCAAGATATTAATGCTGTTTCCTCACTCTCAAAATGATGACATATATGTAAGTATAGTGATGTCAATGATCCTAACCATACATGTTGGATAGAAAGAAGTGTTTCTACGTGAGAGAAATTTAATCAATTCTATCATAAAATCTTGGAGTCTGGGATGTAAATGTACTCAGAGTGAAATGGAGAATTAGGGGAATGATTTAGGTAATAGAATGAAGACCCACTAAAAATTCTGTACTTCAATTAGCTTATTAATAAAGATAAACACTGATTGCATTAACAAGAGACTTGTCACCTCCATTTAATGTTGCTTCTCAACACAGGCCATATTGTACTTTTTTTATTTTAAAGATGTGGGGTACAATTCAGGATTAGGTATACAAATATTCATTATACAGTACTCTTTGATGCATTCCTTTTTGAAGACAAACGCTAATGCTTAAAGCAAGCTTGCCTGAAGTTCGTGTTAGATCTTCTGACAGCCAGAGTTCTGATATTCAAAATCAAAGTTTGAACATGTAACAGTTCCAAACATAGTCCTTAAGAGATTTCATTGATGCTCGCAAAATGAGTATCTTACCATCCTCTTAGAAAACTCAGTCAGCGTATTTGTTTTCATACTTTCTGCCTGATGTGACTTTGGTTATGAATCATTATAGCCAATATGTGCTATTTACCTTTCCAAAGGTGGCCGCGCAGGCTGGCTCCAATTTCTCTTTCCTGCAGAAATCTAAATAGTGTGCATAAAGGATGCACCGTGGCAAGCAAACTCCTTCACACACAATGTAATTCTCTTCAAGCCTAAGAAAAAAGGTCAAACATTAGGTTAAACCTTTTTTATTTGTCCTTTTTTTCCACTTTCTCATTGACTTGATTCTCATTTTGAATACAAGCTCTACATGAGTTCATGCATAAGTAGACATTCTTCATTCAGGATATTGTTAAAAATCAGATCACATGGATTGATGATAAGAGAGCAAGAACCCCAGTGAACACTGGCTAAGTGCAGTTAAAACATGATGGCTAATGTAAAACCATTCCTGCCTTGTCCACATCGCAAATAATAGTTCTTACTTCTACATAAACTTCACTGTTCATCATGGCTTGCTCTGTGATAGATAATGTGAATGGAGAAATTGAAGACGATGGGTTTTAAAGAATATACTCAACACTCAAGGGCTGCCAAGCTTCGGATTAACAAATTCTTATATTGTCTTACTGTCATTCACAAACTAGTTCTGAACCCTGAATAGTTAAGGAAGAATGGTGATGCATGTATTTGCAAAATACATAAAGATAAGCTCATTTCACTGAAGTCTGAGATGATACTGATCTATTTCTAATCCTACTTTTTACTGTGATCAGTATTATAATTATCTAAAACATCTTGCATACACTGGAAACATAATGTGATTCTGTATAGATGCCTCAAAACATAACATATATAACTTTAACTCTGTATTATAAAAAATAATTATATAAACATTAAAATTTTTGAATGTCTATTTAATTTGTAATTAAGTTTGATTTATATAAGTGCAATGAATATATATTTATGTTACAACTATCTGAATATCAATCTAGGAACCAGCACTTTTAGATTCTATTCCCAGTTTTTCTAACAGGTTAGGTGATTTTTGCTGATTTTTCCTATTCCAATTTTATGTATAGAAAGATCATAATTATTACAATGCAGGAACAAAGCAATGTAGAGTATGCATTCAGATAAAAAATAGGATGAAAGACTTCAAGACTTCTGATTTAACATATTCTCAATGTGCACAAGATAAAGGTTAAAGAAGGTGTACTCTGAGCAAGTAAAGTGTCAAACACCCATGCTTCTTTGAAAAAGAAGGAAAAAAGACCAAAATTCATTAAGCTCTAGTGTTTCAAAACATAAAATCCATTTTCATATATAAAATCAAACTCCTAGTTTACAGTAAAGATTGGAATTACTCAGCCAAACTTTTTCACTTTGATTTTTAGTTTTAGGTTTTAACACTCTCAAGATAACCTATAACCTCAAAAGAAAATTCTTAAAATACAAATACGACTTTTTTTTTAACATAAAACACTCATTTTTTAGAAAAGGGTGTGAAAACTCAAACAAAAATGACAGTGTCTTATAGTTTCAAAAAACATAAAATTTGTATGAGAAACATTTAGTTATTTAAAAATTATATTTTAATTAACATGCATATAATATCCATTTTTATCTGGCTATTTTGATATTATTGTAGACGTTGTCTTTGTCTTCAAAAAACTGAGCAATCCCAGGTTTAAGTACAATGTTAACTTTGAGTATGACTTTTTCTTTAATCTTAATGCACACATACTTGTAAAATAAAAACTCATGGTTGTTCCCACTCACTCAATTTGAACAGAAAAAAATATGAGAATGATTATTCAAAACACTTCAATAATATAGCTGAAATCAAAACACCTTGCCCCAATTATTCTCATTAAAATAGTTGTACCCCAAACATTCCAGATAATTAGCTCAATTATTTACTGCTGTATGGTATTCTTAACCAGTAATCATGACATCCACCTCAATAGTTAAATTATAACTTTAGAGCAATATTTGATTTGTATTTTAAATACTGGAAAGGATTCAAGCATATAATCACAAAAATTCATATATGCAAATTATAATTTAATGTTTAATAAATAAAAATAAAATTTACTAAGTTTTTTATATTCTATTTTTCTACTTTATTTTTCTAAGGTTTAGATCTTTACATATAACTAGATTATGTAAACAGTAAATAGCAGCCCTTTTATCAATTTATCCGTTTATTACTTGGAATTTGGGAGAAAACTTATACACCTATTTTTCCTACTGCATAAGAAAGATTAATATTATGCTTTTACTTTAAATTCCTCTTTTTTAAAGATACATATTACAAACTGCTCTCTAAGTAGAAATCTTGCTGATAAATTCTCGGTTTAAAAGATTTTCCACAAAATCCAATTTGTGGTACTTCACTATAATAAATCATATGTGACAGGTGCTATAAAACAGTTGACCATCTATTTAAGTGAATAGTGATAGGTTAACTGATTTTCGTGTGTCTTCTACTCCACACGCATTTCATCTTGTAGTCAATACACTTTTAATTTGCCCTTTTATGGATAAAGGTGGTGTTGAGATCTTTCCTCCTTGGAAGTTGTATTTAAGAACTATGTTTAAATACCCCAAAACTATCAAATAACAAACACACAAGGACTGCACTGATTTCATGTTAAGCAAATAAGATGTAAAAAGCATTCGTTATTACTTACATTTGAAGAAATTATGGTTTTAGTCAATCACGAAGTAATGTGATTTTTATTTGCATTGCAGATCATCTTTCATCAATACCAGAATATGTCCCTAAACTAAATATTCCGTGAAAAAAATTCTGGATTAAATTCTAACGGACTTTTAAACTTCCGCAAAAAAGTTTGAGGAAGAAGCAAGTTGTGGAAGCAAAGTTCCTGACCACTGGTGCGTGAAGCGAGGCTCCCGCGCGGCCCGGGCGCATCTTACCACTGCAGCGTGAGCTGGGTCTGCTTCTTCTTGTCCTTCATGATCTGCGTGATGGTCTTCTTCTGAGACAGCGGCTGCTGGGATGCTTGGGCTTTGCTGTCGCGATTGTCCACATCCTCTTCTTCGGAGGAAAAGTTGCCACTGTTTAAATGCATTTCTGATTGCCAGATGAGGCGATAATAGGGGAAAACAGAATGCAAAGTCAAAATCAAGTAGCCTCTAAGTGTGCCCTCACTTCTAAGGGGCAGCCTATGGGGTGGGCGGGAGTGCCGTGCAAAGTCCCTGGGCGTGGACGAGCTCCGGGTGACAAGGTATTCCCGAGAAGTACAGAGATGTGGACAGAGCATTCTCCATATACTGCATGGATGTCTGAGGTGTGTTTGTCTTTATTACAGGATGTCCTTCTTAGAGCACAGAGATCACAGCTGTGGAGGGGCAGGACACTCACCTGATTTGACGCCCCCCGGCAGCTCCGGGTCTTCCCCTCTCTCCCCGCCGCCCCGCTCGAGCGCAGGCTGCGCCGCGGCCGCCAGGTTCACACGCTCCCCAGGATGGCACACGCGCTCTCCGGGACAGGCGAGCAAGCCCTCGCCCAGGAGCTGCGCGCAGCGGTCGTCCCGGACCTCGGGGGACAGCCGGGGCGAAGGCAGCGCCTGCAGGAAGGGGTCCTC